TACCTCTCTGCATCTGGAATTGGATGCTGGTCACTGCTGTCCAGCCCACACTGATGTCTCAGTCTGGCAATTCAGAAAAGGAAGATCTCTGATGCTTTCTGCACCATTTTGCCACAGCAGAAGAATGACTGGCATGTCTGTTCAGAAAAGCCATTGGGGCCAAGCATCTCAACTTTGAAGGGGACTCTTCTCAGAGTGAGGCATTATGCAGAGCGAAGGTGGTGCTGGAGACCATCTATGCCACAGGTATATAGACAGGGATACGTCACCCACACTGCCTTGCTCAGGAAAATACTGATCAGAACATGATACTGAATGGAAGGCTTAGAGGAGAGAGGGAAAGGTGATGCAGTAGAGGTTGACAGAAATCCTAGAGAGCCACTGCCAGTAGGAGTTGATATTAATGGGAAAAAGGGAGTAATGGTCTGTCTCAATATAAGATAGCTTCCTATTGTTCCTATAATATCAGCTATAAATATTGAAATAAGATATAGTTCTTTAGAGCTTTCTCCTATAAATCTATCTTTAAAATGAACAAAATCTGCACAAGATAATTTCTGTGTTCTTATCAAATTTAATTGAGAATATGTGGCAGAGGAGGCAGATGGCCCAACACACTGTGCCCCAAGGGGCCAATCCAGTAAACCTTGTCTATGTAGGAATCCTGTAGTCATTACTGGAGTCTATATAAACATTAAATCATATAACAAGGTTGCTATGGGCAGAGCAGATGAAGACATTTTCAAATTAATAAAGAATGGGTAGTGCCTAGACAGCTATGCAGGAAGGAGATAATTTACAAGAAATTGCTTCATTTTTCTTGAGAATCTGAAGACTCTCTGGGACCAATTGCTACAATGTCTTCTGCATTCTAAAACTGATAAAATATTTTGTCTTAAATACTCTATAAAGCTGCATAGTTGTAAATAAAACTACAGTATTGGCTTGCCTCATTAACACTTAGTTTCACTGGTTGGCTCCAGTCTACCCATTCTCTGTTGGGTACCAGTACCATGCCTATTCCTATATCAAATTAATAGTGGCAATATACCATTTTAGAGTTGAAGTGAAATTCTGTTCAGATCGTATCTATTGCACATTAGTACAAAGAATTTAGGGCATATGCTCTTGTGCCACCTCTGTCACATGCCTCTTTTTGTTGGATCATTCTGATGCTGCTTTGAAAATAATGCATATTTTTAGAAGATTATTGGTTTCATCCAAGTTGGAAGTTATTACTACTTTTCTATTTAGTTTCTCTCTTTATTAAATAAAGGAAGGGAGGAAGGTAGATAATAGTTTGGCTGGTTGGTTAGTCCTTAAATCACCTTGGTTTTCACAGCAAGTGTAAACTGGCTAGGAGATGATGCAATTAATTGATTTGCGGTAATCACCCTTTTCTTCAGTTGTACTGGTTCATATCCATATAATTCCATTTGTCTCACCAGTTCACTGATGGAAGTGCCTCTCAGTTTTACTATTCAAAGAAGGAGACACAGAGAAAAACCAGAATGCTCCATAGAGTCATGTTTGAGTGCCCCATTTAAAAATGACTGCTGTATTTCATCAGCCTACTCTAGTTCCTATATATTTATTTACTGAATATCCATCCTACCCTTCCTCCATAGAGTCTTCTCAACCTATTTCATCCCCACAGCATAGGTTTGTCCACTGTGCTCCACCATAATGATTTACGACAGTAGGGACCATCGAAATAGAATAAACCCTATCAATCAAAATGAAAAATGAAACTATAAAAATAAATGTTTTATGACATGTTTCATTAAAACTGCTGGGCATAGGAAGAGCTGGCAAAAGTGATGAAAATAAAGAAAACATTTAAAAAAACTGGATGAACAAATCATTCTTCAGAGGACAATGAAAACACTCCATGTGGAGAACCCTCCTGTTCTCAGTGGGAAGTAGGCCATTGCAAAAAAAAATTTTTTCAAATGTTCTTTGTACACCCCTACCATATTGTTACCATTACTGAAACATAATTGCCTGCAAATTTTCAAGTCTGTAGGCCATGTTTTGACCCCCACCCACCTCAAAAATAATTTTCCGTTTAAAACAGACATTGACAACATGGTAGCAAGTTGTAAACTTTTTGCTTTATCTTTTATACATTGTAATCAAGGCAGCAATGAGTGAAAATATGGAATAAGAACCACCTTAGGAAGTAGTTCCTCTAATTTCATCCACACCAAACCAACCGGTACTTAAAAAGGATGATAGAGAAGTGTCTGAAATGTGGTTCATAGGTAATTTACTGCAAGATTTGACTCCCAAAAAAGGATCTCAACTGCCCACCAATGGGGATGTGCTTTGCTACTTTGTTTTTCTCAATTGTGGACCCATGTAGAAAGATAAAAAGGACGATGTTATAAAATTTGTTATCCTGAAAGCAAAACAGTTTTGGGAGCATTCTGGCATTCTTGTCATGCCTATCAGAGTGGCATCACTCTGACAGGCATCACTATCAGATGAAAGCAAAACTCAATAAATTAATTGTGCAACACAAAAATCTTCAGAAACATAAAACAAGGAAGAACTTCCCCACTGAGAGTGAAAGCTTTCTCAAATCTTTTCTTCTACTCTTCGACATAGCACATGACAATGCCATTGCTATTACAGAACATGAAAGATGTAGGACAATAGAAATGATTCTGGAAGATGTGTAATTCTTAGAAGATCATGTAGAAAAATGGAGTTAGGTGGTCTTGATAAGACACACTTTGCAAAAGTTATGAGGACATTTTCTCATAATGAAAAAGAAATTGAATGTGCTGCGAGGGAGAAGCATCACCAAGAAGAAGCTTCAACCGAAATAAACAGAAGCAGTAGCCTAGAACTTGATAAATTTGGTTTAGTTGGTTACCTTGAATCAAGTGGTTTGGATGGCTTGGATGCTCAACCTGATTCAACTGAAAATCCAGAGTTTGTATTTCCTTCAACTAGCAGTGGTGCAACAGGTACAGGTACAACACTTCAGAGAAAAAGTTAATCAGTTGCTTTAACACTACCCAGAAATCTATTTACAAGCAAAACCATATCAACCATGGGGGACAGGCTTAATCTATCAGCTGGTCAATGAACAGTATTCATGGGAACAATTCTTACAAAAGGTTGAGTTCCACTGGAAAAAGCAACTCTTTACAGCAGGTCAAGAAGTTAGGAAATCATCAGTGCAAGCAATTAAGGCTACATTCACAGCACTGAAGCACTCAGCACTATATTGGGATGGTAAACTGGTACCAGGCTTCAAAAAAGAAAACAAAGAAAGACTAGGGATTCAGGTATATGGTAGGCCAGACTTTAAAGAAGGCAAAGTTCTTGATATCCCAGTAATTACAAACATAAGAGGGGAAGAACAAGCAAGAGCTATGTTTGCCCTCGCAAACGAGTGGGAGATTTCAGATAATGTGAGATCCCTTGTTTTTGACATTACAGCTTCAAACTCAGGATGGAAAATTGGAGCTTGAGTTCACTTTGCTGGCTTGTCGGCATCACATATTTGAAAGAATCCTGAGTTCAGTTCACAAAGAATTGTTTGGTGCAACATCAGGTCCTGAAAACACCAATTTCATTCAATTCAAGGACTCTATACGGTCAACTATTAACACAGAAGCTTATTTTAAGACCCCTAGAAATCGAAGACAGGTCTCACAGGAAACTCACTAAGGAAAATTCTATACAATCACCAAATAGAATACTTCATACTCCAAATAGAAAGAACTTGCTACCTCACACTGACTATCAGGAGTGTGCTGAATTGATGTTGATACTTCTAGATGAGACACCTGAAAGAGGAATACACTGGCTGAAACCAGGAGTGGCACATCATGCTCAGTGGATGCCATCCATTTTGTATCCTGCAAAGACGCTGGCTTTCAGTGCTCAGGCAGAATATGACAAAGCCATGATCAGTAAACTGGAAGCACTATACAAATTTAATGCAGTATTCTATGTTGAAAACTGGCTCTCTTCATCTATTGGGGCCAATGCAGAGTATAATGATCTCACGCTATGGCATAACTTGAACAAGTATTGCAAGCATGATCCACAAGTTGCAAATGCAGCCATAAAATCCATGGAAAGGCACTTCTGATACTTAACCAAAGAATGTGCTGTGTTCTCTCTATATTCAAACAGACTTTCCTCTTCAGAACAGCAGCAGGTTGCTCAAACATTGCTCCAAATTCCTGGACCAAAAGAGTTTAAAAGGACCCATCCAACTTTTCCTATTCCTTTTCTGAGCCACAGTACAAAACTATCATACCTTAAGGGGCCTAAATCCTGGTTCTTGTTACACAGCATGGGAATTGGTGCTGACTGGCTAGGAAAACCTGTGAATGGCATAATGATCCCAATTACCAAGAAACTGAGACATATGTGCAGCATGTCAAAGTGGTGAATGATCTGTCAGAATGGGCTGTAAAACTAATCCAAGACTTCTCAACTAGCATTACCAATGATGAAACACAGGGTTTTTTGCAAGTGGTTGAATATCACCGCAAACAAATTCCCAACTTTCAAAGAAAGACATTAAAGAAATTAACATTCTCCTCCACAAAACCTTAAATCCAGTGAAATGATTTGATATGATTGTGTGTTCACTATTACCAAACTTGTTAATTACTACATATGTAGTTTGTCTTCTCTATATAATAAACTGTCTTATATTACAAATATCTTGGCATGATTTTAGTATAGGAAAATGATGATTTATGAACTAAATCAGTTAATTGTGTTGGGCAGGGATCAAAACATCACCAAATGTCCTGAAATTTGGTGTACATTCATATTGTGCCAGAGAAACAACATAGGAGGGGTGCACCATATAAGTTTTTAAAATATTTTTCCCATACCTACATGCAATGGCTTAGTGGGCAGATCACCTCTCATGATGGATGGCATAATGGAGAAGTCTCTTCTCTGCAATGCAACTTCACAAGGCTGTGTTGTAAGCAAATCTTCCCTCCAGATGGTAAAGATTATCATGGTCTATTCAGGAGAAGATAGTCTCTCAGGTAAACTGGTTCTGAGCTGGACCAAAATGTGACCGTTATTCTTGAGACAGTTAAATAGGAGCTATGTGACTCTTGTGGATGGGTGATCACCTGCTGAGTCACTTGATAATCGTGAAGCTTGCCTTGAAAGTGTCTTTGTTTAGAAGCCGCACCTAGGCATTCACACAACAAAGAGAATTAGAATGAGAGTCCAGTCCCATCAGTGACATCTTTCTCCTGTTATGAATAAAGTCCTCATGACTGGGAGCATCTTTTGTTCTAGGCTAAGGCAACTAGAGTACAGTGGTGCCTTGACTTCTGAACGCCCTGACCTACAAACAATGTGACTTAAGAACAGCTCTGGCTGCAAAATTTTGATTTGACTTGTGGCCGGAGGTTTGACTTACGAACGGAAAAAGGCAGGGGAGAAAGGCAGGAAATTCAAACCGCTGGTGGCAAAGAGGGAGCTTTCTTTGTAGCTCTTTCGCCCCAACGGTTAGAGCAGGCGGTTAGGGAACTTTTTTTACTCCTGGGGCACAGGAGGAGGAAGGAGAGTTGGGGTGGCACAGGTCTACTCATGAGTAAACACCACCAAAGGCACGGTTCAGAGGGGCTCCGTAGCAGCATAGGAGGAGGAAAGAGAAGCCACTGGGTGCTGGTGCTTTGGAAGGCCAGGAAGCCTCTGCAGAGGCTTCGGACTGGTAAAGTGCTACTTTTTCTTTTAAAAAAAGTTGTTCTGGGTGGGTTTTGGAGGGTGGGTTTGGGCTGGAGGGATACATTTCTAGGGTTTGTTTTTTGTTTTTTGTTGGGGTTTTTTGGCGTGGGACTTGCAGTGCTTTATTTTTTGGGGGGTATTTTTTTCTTTGGTCAGAATGGATTAATCGGTTTTCAGTGCATTCCTATGGGAAATGGTGCTTTGACTTACGAACATTTAAACTTATGGCCACTGTTCCAAAAGGATTAACTTCGTAAGTCAAGGGACAACTGTATCTATTTTTATATTGCTTATCTAACCATACCACAGTATTTCACCTAAATCTTCTTGCCCATCATCTGCCTTGGTCAGGTCAAAGTATCATTCCCCAATTCACTGGATACCTAGTTCAGTTACCCAGATCAACTTGATGTTGATAGTTTTTGACATGCATAATTTGCTTAAAACAAGCAGGTACAGTTGAGATGGCTTTTTTTCAGAATGAATTTGTTATTTTACAGTTATTCAGAGTAGTCAAACTGCCACTCTCCAAATGTTTTTTAAACTGCAACTCCCAAAATGCCTCATTAGCCATGATGGGAATGCAACCAAACCACATCTGAAGGAGCATCCCTGCTTTAAACACAGAAGGATTCTGTAGATTGAGCAAGAGAAGGCAATGAGGAGAAAAAGAAAAGAAAAGTATTCAAAATATATATTTTAACAGTGTTTTTGTCATATCACTCATTCCATTTAAAATACAAAAGCATTTAAATGAACAACCAGAAGGAGAAGGAGAAGGAGAAGAATCATATGTTGTCAAGTCAATTCTGACTTACAGTGATCTTCTGGTGTAGGCCATTTCTGTCTGGTGTGGGCACTGTTTTACAGTGGCTCCAGTCCTTTCTGGAGATCGGAACTCAGAGGGTGGTCCTGGGGGACTCCTGTTTTACACCCTCACCTTTAGTCTGTGGTGTCCCTCAGGGATCTATTTTGTCTCCTATACTATTTACAGTAACATCTACCTGAAACTGCTTGGCAAGATTGTCTGGAGTTTTGGGGTTTGGTGTCACCAGTATGTTGATGACACCCAACTCTATCTCTCCTTCCCTTCTAAATCCAAGGAAGGTGTTTCGGTTCTCCTGGTCACTTGAAAAGCAGATCAAGGAACAGAGTTGCAGCTTGTGCTGGATGAGGTTACACCCCCCTCTGAAAACACAGGTGCACAGCTTGGGGATGCTCCTAGATTCATTTCTGAGTGTGGATGCCCATGTTTCAGTGGTGGCCAGGAGTGACTTTGCACATTTAAACTAGTGTGCCAGCTGTGCCTGTTTCTTGACAGGAGTGATCTGGCCACAATGACACATGCCCTAGTTACATCTTGACTGGATTTACTGTAACACACTCTACATGAGGTTGCCTTTAGAAAGTGTTCAGAAACTCCAGAGGGTCCAAAATACCAGCCAGACTGCTGACAGGGGCTGGTTATGGAGATAATGTGATCCCCCTCTTACAGCAGCTTCATTGGCTAACAATCCATTTCTGGACACAATTCAGAAGAGCCTCGTGGCGCAGTGGTTAAAACGCTGTACTGCAAGCTAAAACTGTGCTCACGACCTGGGGTTCAAATCCCAGGTAGCCGGCTCAAGGTTGACTCAGCCTTCCATCCTTCCGAGGTCGGTAAAATGAGTACCCAGTTTGCTGGGGGGGCAATGTGTAGCCTGTATAATTAAAAATTGTAAACCGCCCGGAGAGTGCTTGTAGCGCTATGGGGCGGTATATAAGTCCAATAAATAAATAAATATAAATAAATAAATTCAAAAGTGCTGGTATTAACCTATAAAGCCCTAAACAGCTTGGGTTTATGATGATGACAGTAGAGACAGCCTTCTCTGTCGCTACTCCCAGACTCTGCAACTAAATAAATAAAATAAATAAATCTTTTTCAAGGTTTTCCAGGTGGAGAGTACTCAGAAGTGGCTTACCATTCCCTTCTTCTGGGGGTGCCCTGGGACTGTGCAACTTGCCCAAGGCCACACAGGCTGGCTCTGCTCACAGGAGGCACCGTGGGGAATCAAACTCCCAACCTCTGGCTCAGTAACAGCATATCTAAATCACTGAGCTAGATGGAAAAGCATCATAGATTTTGCTGAAACTCTGAAGTTGCAAGTTACTAGATTTTTTTTCTTGTGTGCCATCTGGTGGCCAATTATTCCGTTTGGCGTTTTTTACTTCACTTAATTACTGGGTACATGTCTGAATTACAGGGCAGGGAGTGTGGAAACTCCTATGAGCTTTCAGACCTGCCAGTCTAGAGCTCATGCATAGCATTTGTCAAATCCACAGAAACTGTGAAATAACACAGGACCTATGTGCAAGATGACATGGAACTTAACCTTTGTTGGTTTTCAGAAACTAGAAGTACACAACCTTGGGGTTTTAGCAGAAGTACACAGGCATTTTCAAGGGGAAAATAAGAGATCTGCATCTTTTTATTTTTGTAATTTTAATATGGATTTCAATGCATCCATGAAGTATGAAATGATTTTCAACCTTGTTTCTATGACAACCGTCTGCAGTAGAGAGCTAAGCAAGGGACTCAAAGAAGCTGCCAAGGACTCTAATAAATAGTTCTTTTGAAAATATGGTGAGCTATTCAGATTTACACCTCAGCCTTTGGACTGGAGTTGAAAGAGCAGAAGAATGGTCTGTCACTTTCCTTTATTTGAGAACACCACAAAACATCCTGTATTTTTAAATGTACATGTTGACCTCAATATTTGTAATAATAACGATAATGGTATGGCATGTGTTTTGTCCTTGGACAAATGTGTAGAAATGAACCAAATCCGAAATACCTGTGTATTTCCAAGCTGACCACGTGGTATAACGAGGTTGTTCTACTGGGAAAACAGAGCAGCACGCCTGCAGATCCCTGATGTTACATCTGCAATTCATGAGTCACAATTAGAAGTACGGAATGGAAAATGAAAATGAAGGAAAGTGTGCTCTTCACCTTAGAAATTGTCTTTTCTTTCCAGCTGCAAAGTCATTTATTCAATCATTAAAATCTTGAGGCTGCAGCACCACTAATTTCACATACAGGGAACAGGAAGAGTAGGGACAGAAAAAATATAAAGTGTAGAACAGTAGGCTCCTTGAATTGCCCTTTTAAGAGGCAATCAAAGACAAATGTGGCCACTGCCCTTTTAAAGTCCCCCACTTACACTGTTCCCCCATCTGCCTTGGGAGGCAAGGTGATTGAGACATTCTCCTGGCAGCTGAAGAAAACAATGGGGGATAAAACTGAAACAGAGCACCCGGCTCTGCAAACAGCTGCTTGTGCTTTTCTTTCCTGATTGTTCCATTTTATTTATGCCCTGTTTTTGCCATATATGTTTCCACATTTGCAAAAATCTAAGTTTCAATGAGAACTGGAAATTCACAAATGTTGTCAAGAACTTGAACAAGGTTCAGGCCACAATGTCATTAAAACAGCACAGAATGGTTTGGTCCCAATCCATGAGCCTGTTATTTGGGAAAAGACTGAGTCAAGGATGCTTCTAAAAAATCCCTAATTGATAGTAAATGATATAAGAAGGTGCAAAAAATGGAAGTATTCCCCCTTCCTACACACATCAGAGTAAATTATTTGTGTGCCATATCTGAATCCTAGTTAACGATTAATTTTATTTCACATTTTGTAATAAAAAGAAAAGAGTTTGACAAAGAAGACGAAGATGCCATCAAGTCGGTTCTGACTTCTAGGCTGTTCAATCTCCACTTATCCTTATGTTCTCAGCCTAATCCTTGCAGTGGAAGCTCAAAAAATATATATATCCTTTTATAGTGCCCTGGGCTGTGGGTATAGGTACAGGAGACATTTCCATGATTTTCTTTCATCCATATATGTGTGTGGCTAATTTAATAAAATAGATGAATACGTGTCACTATTGAGTTAGTGGCAGGAACAATTCTTCTTGACCAAGATGGATAACTCTGGTCTTTCTGATACTTTGGGCCTAAATCTGGTACCAGCCCTAACCAACATAGCCAAAGATTATGAGAAAGCTTGAAGGGACACTATTCTACTTCTTATTCTGCATCATCCAGAAGCATATATTCACCAGCCAGGGTTTTATCCAAAGCTCTTCTGAGTCCAGAACTCTCCTCCTTGGCATGGGCAAGTATGTAAGGAGGGCCCAATATTTCATGAGGGTAGAAGTGATAGCATGGGAAGGACACCACTGTCATAATAGTTTTTTCATTGAAGTTCCATCACCTAAAATATAAACACGAAGCGACAGCTGTATGCAAATATTTAAAACTATCAAGACCTCTATCACCATGTAAATCCCTTCCTTCAAGTCTTACAGTCATAACTAAAGAATAACAATGCCAAAGTCACATTTCCTGCTGTTTAGTAACTCACACTTCCCATGGAGCCTTCCTTTCCATTATACATGCTAATTTTCAGGG